CTACAGACTCAAGGCTGCCGACCCCGGGAATGAAGTCCTACATGACAGCGAGCTTAACGCCCTGGGCATTGAACTGGCCGGTATATCGAGGAACATTGATGCTGTTCTGGAAGAACTGGGACCAGGGGGGGGGAGGTGTATCGGGATTGCGATTGGGTTTGGGGCACAATTAAGTGTAAAGATGGAGTCTTCTTCAGAGTCAGACTCCGGGGAACTGATCCAAGGCACGCTACCAGCAAATGTGCCTTCTGAAAGACAGACTCCAGCTCTGGAGGACAGCGGTAGCGTCAGCTTCACCCAGCAGACTTTCATAGTGCAGGAAACCCAGAGAAGCGACATGGACTCCCAGCACATGGACTATGAGGACGGTGTTGCTACCCCCGGTTCTCATGGTGGAACCAATGCTGAGGGGACTGGTGTTCGGGATGGGGTAGTTGATAATTATGCAGATGAAGCTGCTGATGCTAGTTAGTGGTGATATGGCCAGTGCTGATATCACTAATATTGATGTAGGGGTTCCTGATGTCATTAACACTGAGGTAGGTATGTCTGGATGGGGTCAGGACCAGTCTGAGGACCCTGTGAATGTGGCGATGGAGGAGTCAGTTCAGGATAACACCCGTGATTTCCCCCTTTGGTTGAGTCGCCACCTGCATCACAAGGGAATAGTGGTCCATCTGGCCATGTCCCTCCTCGGAATGCCTGGAGCCGTGGGGCTCCTTCTTTTTTCCAACAATACCGGTTATACTGGTCAGGCCTTCAAGAGGAGGAACGTGGTCAGGTTGAAGCATAGGGGTTCCAGAGAAGAGCTCCCTGATAGGAGGTTTGTAGTTAGGGAGTTGCTGTGTCAGCAGATGGGGTTTGTGCCCGCAGATATTTTGGCAGTCATCAACCTCCCTGACAGACAGGGGTATGATGTCAGCTTTCAAGCTCATGTCTGCCTTGGACAGGTTTCTGGGCCGGCTTTAGTGGGTTTCAGGATAAAGAGGGGTGGAAGATTTTCACCTTCATCCCCATCTCCAAACCTGACACAGCAAACGTGAACATCATTTTCTGGAATGAGTCTGTGCCCCCCCAGGATATTGTAGTCTGGCTCAGAAGGCATTGTGAGATGGTCTCTGATCTGACCACCAAAACTAGGGACAGTGATGGGATCTGGACTGGAGGTTGGAGGGTTCTTGTCAAGCTGAGGCAGAGTAACAATGTCACCCATCACCTTCCAAACTCCTTTTTCATTGGGCGGAGAGGGGAGTTTGCTTCTATGCAGGTCAGCCCAGGCTATGTTTCAAATGCGGTAGGTCGGGTCATGTGGCGAGTGTCTGCTCTATCATGAAGTGTAATCTGTGTGGGGAGGTCGGCCATGTCAGTTCTACCTGTGAGAACATCAAGTGCAATCTATGTGGTAGGCTTGGCCATTTGCACAGAGATTGCCCGGTGGCTTTCCACAATAGGGATGAGGAATCAGTGGATGAGGAATTTCTGGTGGTAGCAGAACACCTGGAGGAGGAAGCCTTAATGAATGGGGTCCCATATCAACTGAGGGGGAGGTAAACCCAGAAGTCCAAGGGGCCAGCCTCGGGCAGGAGGGCAGTGTTCAGCAGACTGAGGAGCAGCGGCCATCTGTGGCCATCCCATCCGTTTCAGTTCCTGCCTCTGTGGAGAACATTCCCAGGCAGAAGAGAAGGAATAGGAAGGACAAGGCCACCCGTAAACCTGAAAGTGAATGGACCCGAGTGCAGAAATCCTCTAAGAAAGTGAGAAGGGCGCCAGAAGGTAGTATGGCAGTCAGCAACCAGTATGATGTCCTATCAGAGTCAGATGCCGACTCCTGTGATCTAGAGGACCAAATGGAGGAAGAAGTAGAAAGGGAATCTGCAGCTAGTTCAGGGGAGGACCCACCCACTAAGAAGCGCCCGCCCCCGGCTCCCGTATTTGTAGAATCCGATATGGAAACTGGTAGTCGGCGGAGTGACTCAGATTCCGATTTATAAAAAGAGTTTAGAGCCGAAAGGAATATAAAATGGGAGGAATTTATTTACAGCATCAAATTCTATGCAGAACTTTCATTAGTTTAATTTGTTCGACTTTTCTGTCGTGAAGATGTAGGCAGTTGTTACATTGTTGGTTTGTGTGTTTTTTATGATGATGGTTACAGTTTTGTTACCTTGTAATTTGTTTGTTTATACAAATAAAAAAATATCCATACATACAGAATAAGGACAGATACCGAGAATGACACCCGGCATCCGGGACAGGACAGGAGAAGTGGGGGACTGTCCAGGCAGGAGAAGTGGGGTGTGGGTTTCCTGTGGAGCAGCTGCAGGCTGTGTGGTGCTGACCTCCTCTGATGTCTGATACAAGCCCAGGGTTGGGCTGCCCTGGGCTGGGACGCCTCCCAGGAGAGTCCCAGGCTTCTCGGCCTGCTCATGGAGGTGAAGCTGTGGTTGGTGGTGAAGCGGGAGGACGGAGTTCAGTGAATGGAAAGCAAATGGCAGAGACTGTGAGTAGATGTGGGAATGTTGGTGATGGAAAGTCCAGTGTGAGAAGTTCTGGTAATATACAGAGAAGATGAAGTCAGTCCAGCAGGGTGATAATGTCTCTCAGCAAAATGTCAGTTCTGGAAGTGCAGCACATGGCAGTCCGCCATTGCAGCCACAGCATGCCCAGCAGAGAAGGGCCCAGTCAGTTCAGTCCAAACAGCAATGTAATGTTGTCACCAAGCAAACTCCAAGCTCTGGAGGAGCAGCTCAAGGCAGTCAGCCATTGCAGCCACAGCAGGCCCAAGCCGTGCAGAGCGGAGCCCATGCCGTGCAGAGCGGGGCCCATCTAGTTCAGTCTAAACAGCAATGTAAGGCTGTCACCAAGCAAACTCCAAGTTCTGGAGGGCAACCCAAGGCAGTCCGCCATTACAGGCACAACAAGCCAAGCAGAGGAAAGTTCAGTCTGTCCAGCAATGTGATGTTGTTACCCAGCCTAGTCCAAGCCTTGGAGGTCCAACTCCGGGCAGTCCACTATTACAGGCACCGCAAGCCCAGCAGAGCAAAACCCATGCCGTGCAGAGCGGGGCCCATCCAGTTCAGTCAAAAAAACAGCCATGTAAGGGTGTCACCCAGAGCACTCCAAGCTCTGGAGGAGCAATGCAAGGCAGTCAGCCATCGCAATTACTGAAAGCCCAGCAGAGCGGAGCCCATGCCGTGCAGAGTGGGGCCCATCCAGTTCAGCCTAAACAGCAATGTAATGTTGTCACCCAGCGCACTCCAAGCTCTGGAAGTGCAACCCAAAGGGCAGTCAGCCATTACAGTCGCAGCAAAGACCAGCAGATCAGAGCTCAGTCAATTCTGTTTAAACAGCAATGTAATGTTGTCACCCTGCACAGTCCAAGTCATGGAGGTCTAACTCCATGCGGTCAGCCATTACAGGCACCACAAGCCCAGCAGAGTGGGGGCCCATGCTGTGCAGAGCGGAACCCATACAGTCCATGCAGCTCAGGAATGTAAGGTTGTCACCCGGCATGCTTCAAGTTCTGGAACTGTAAATCAAGGCAGTCAGTCATTGCAACAAAAGCAAGTCCAGCAGAGTAGAGCCCATGCCATACAGTGCAAAGTCCATGCCGTGCAGAGTGGTGATCACACAGTCCATATGGCTCAGGAAAGTGACACTATCACCCAGCACACTACCAGCTCTGGAGTAGCAACAAAAGGCAGTCAGCCATTGCAAACAAAGCAAGCCCAGAAGAGTGGAGCCCATGCCGCACAGAGCCCAGCACAGGCCGTTCAGAGCGGGGCCCATACAGTACAGAGCGGAGCAGAGACACCTGTCACTCCCTCAGTACTCCGCGCAGATCTGCAAGGACTACGTTGGAGCAGAAAACTCTGAAGGAGAACTTACAGCAGTGTGTAATGGTGGGCAGTGGCCAGGAACGCTCATTACGCCCCAGGTCCCGGCAGAAGAAAGATGATGGAGCCAATAAGCCTCCACAGTCTGGCCCGGAGAGTCCTTCTACATCCAGCAGAGACCCTTCACCCAGTACCCGCTGATGGGGATCAGAATTTCAAGCGTCCCGCGGATAGGAAGCAGAAAGTGTTAAAGTCACCTGTGCTGCGCCTGGCTGACAGGATTCCTGCTCTGGAGAAGAGAATGAAGACCTTGAGGAAAGCTAAGGCTTCGACCCAGAAAAGGATTGACTCCATCTACAGACTCAAGGCTGCCGACCCCGGGAATGAAGTCCTACATGACAGCGAGCTTAACGCCCTGGGCATTGAACTGGCCGGTATATCGAGGAACATTGATGCTGTTCTGGAAGAACTGGGACCAGGGGGGGAGGTGTATATCGGGATTGCGATTGGGTTGGGGCACAATTAAGTGTAAAGATGGAGTCTTCTTCAGAGTCAGACTCCGGGGAACTGATCCAAGGCACGCTACCAGCAAATGTGCCTTCTGAAAGACAGACTCCAGCTCTGGAGGATAGCGGTAGCGTCAGCTTCACCCAGCAGACTTTCATAGTGCAGGAAACCCAGAGAAGCGACATGGACTCCCAGCACATGGACTATGAGGACGGTGTTGCTACCCCCGGTTCTCATGGTGGAACCAATGCTGAGGGGACTGGTGTTCGGGATGGGGTAGTTGATAATTATGCAGATGAAGCTGCTGATGCTAGTGGTGATATGGCCAGTGCTGATATCACTAATATTGATGTAGGGGTTCCTGATGTCATTAACACTGAGGTAGGTATGTCTGGATGGGGTCAGGACCAGTCTGAGGACCCTGTGAATGTGGCGATGGAGGAGTCAGTTCAGGATAACACCCGTGATTTCCCCCCTTTGGTTGAGTCGCCACCTGCATCAGAAGGGAATAGTGGTCCATCTGGCCATGTCCCTCCTCGGAATGCCTGGAGCCGTGGGGCTCCTTCTTTTTCCAACAATACCGGTTATACTGGTCAGGCCTTCAAGAGGAGGAACGTGGTCAGGTTGAAGCATAGGGGTTCCAGAGAAGAGCTCCCTGATAGGAGGTTTGTAGTTAGGGAGTTGCTGTGTCAGCAGATGGGGTTTGTGCCCGCAGATATTTTGGCAGTCATCAACCTCCCTGACAGACAGGGGTATGATGTCAGCTTCAAGCTCATGTCTGGCTTGGACAGGTTCTGGGCCGGCTTTAGTGGGTTTCGGGATAAAGAGGGGTGGAAGATTTTCACCTTCATCCCCATCTCCAAACCTGACACAGCAAACGTGAACATCATTTTCTGGAATGAGTCTGTGCCCCCCCAGGATATTGTAGTCTGGCTCAGAAGGCATTGTGAGATGGTCTCTGATCTGACCAAAACTAGGGACAGTGATGGGATCTGGACTGGAGGTTGGAGGGTTCTTGTCAAGCTGAGGCAGAGTAACAATGTCACCCATCACCTTCCAAACTCCTTTTTCATTGGGCGGGAGAGGGGAGTTTGCTTCTATGCAGGTCAGCCCAGGCTATGTTTCAAATGCGGTAGGTCGGGTCATGTGGCGAGTGTCTGCTCTATCATGAAGTGTAATCTGTGTGGGGAGGTCGGCCATGTCAGTTCTACCTGTGAGAACATCAAGTGCAATCTATGTGGTAGGCTTGGCCATTTACACAGAGATTGCCCGGTGGCTTTCCACAATAGGGATGAGGAATCAGTGGATGAGGAATTTCTGGTGGCAGCAGAACACCTGGAGGAGGAAGCCTTAATGAATGGGGTCATATCAACTGAGGGGGAGGTAAACCCAGAAGTCCAAGGGGCCAGCCTCGGGCAGGAGGGCAGTGTTCAGCAGACTGAGGAGCAGCGGCCATCTGTGGTCATCCCATCCGTTTCAGTTCCTGCCTCTGTGGAGAACATTCCCAGGCAGAAGAGAAGGAATAGGAAGGACAAGGCCACCCGTAAACCTGAAAGTGAATGGACCCGAGTGCAGAAATCCGCTAAGAAGGTGAGAAGGGCGCCAGAAGGTAGTATGGCAGTCAGCAACCAGTATGATGTCCTCCTCAGAGTCAGATGCCGACTTCTGT